CCTCCTTGCCCATCATGTTAGTGAGGCGTGGAATGACGATCGGCTCAGGGTCGCGCCCTGGGATTTGATTCTTGGCAAGAAAGCCCAGCCGAGTCTTCAGAATAACTTGCGAGTTCATCAAGGAGGCACAACCGTCACTAAAGGACAGTGCCCCTATCTCTGAGCGCCGCCTACCTGATGCCAGAGCCAAAAGAAAAACTGTTTTCATAGTGACATACTTCATGTCTGCCTTATCCATAGGCTCGAAGGGGGGTGTCATAACGCCGACAGAACAAACGACAAGTCCCAGCCGGAAGGATTCGTTAGTCCCTTGGCACGTGGCCTCTTCGAGCGGAAAGACTTAAACAGTTGATTCATAATAGAACTCAAAGCCAGTTTCAGTCCAGCAGATTCTGATAAAACTGGGAATAAAACCGACCGATATCCAAGAATAGTCGATATAGATTTCCCTTGATTAAACAAATAAAGGAAAAAATTCGTCTACCTCGCTAATAGAGGGACTGAGGTGATCAATCTCCCTTCCATCACACCAATCAGAGTACAATTTCCATCTGGATTCGTACAACCGTCTGGTGCCGTCCGACTGTGCCAAAGCGAGGAACTTGGACAACTCTGCAGAAAAGCCTTGCGCTTGCAAGAGTTTATCGATAGCCTCCACGTGCAAAGATGAAATAATGCAGGGCTCATTGGGAGCGCCGTCCGGCTGGGACAACAGATCCGGAAGATCCGGCAGCTCCACTGGCAACTCGACTAGAAGTTCCAGTAACAACGAGAACCAGACCTTCACTGGCCAACTGGGCGCCACCAATGTCAGAATACAGGTGGGCTCGAGTCATAACTTCTCAAACACTTGGTGCACCAGATGGAAGGGTGGAAATGCGCAAGCGTCTATGTGGCTTCAAGAGATCGATAGTGTCCGTGGCAAATGCGCTCGTCTCCGGGAGGAGCGACGCGTACGTTGGGAGCTTGGCGTTCTGGTGATTGGCAAATGGGGTATCGATTGACCCAACGGAAGGCATTGGACATAACCGCTCCGAAACCAGGGTCAAGCTGTTTGTCCTTTTCCCCCTCCATCGCCCTCTAAGCCCCCACCATAGCCTGGGTCACACGGGGTGCCCAGGAGAGTTGGCCGGCAGGCGTGGTCTCCACGCCGGCAGTGGGAGAGGAGAGTGCCAATGAAAACAGGTCCAAAGGCGACTCCCCATCCGGGGGATGGGGATGTTGGATTACAACCGGCCCTGTGCGAAAGAGTCTCGCGGCCATCACTGCACGGTTCACAAGCTGTGACCTTAACTGCATATTAGTAAGGGACAGCCGGGCTTCGGTTGGTTGGGTATCCTGTGACTGCCCGGCCAAAGTGGGGACGAGAAACGACAGAGCGCTCGCCCCCCTTCCTGTTGGGGAAGTGGTCGCTGTCCCCCATAAGAGGGTAGCATACCACCCTGTCAAGGGGTACCAACACTGGAGTCCCCTCCCCTCGCAGAGTCATAAGAAGGGACACTCTGCTTGGGAAGACGCAGGAAACAATGCCTGGTTAGCCCGAGCCTGAGGGGGGTGTGGGGAATACGGACAAGGACATGTAAGGCGGTCCGTTCCGGGGAGAGGGCCCCCTTCTCACTGATGTGAATTGTCCCCCCACTGACCCTCTAAAGGAGAGATCACTTGGAGAAAAGGACACACCTGACCCTAGCCCTGGTGGTAAGGGTACAGGCAATATCTCAGCCTTACCTCAACGGTAAACTGTTCCGACGGTCTTGTCGCACTCCAGGACCCTGCCACCTCGAGCAGGGAGTCAGATCGTGACAACTCTCCCAAATTCTCGGCTGTTGAACGGAGGCGAGCCTCGCGGTGACCACCAAGCGTAGTAGGAAAAGATTTCTCACTCCTACAAACCAACACACAGGAGCTAGCGGCAGTAAGGGATTTCCCCTTCTTTCAGCGATCTCTACAAGCCATCAATCGCTTGCCTTCCGCCTTCCACCCTGCTTTGCACATGAGCCACATTTTATGGTCCCACTAATCACAAATACCCTCAAGGCAAACCCCGGAGTCCCGGACGCAATTAAGGCAGGAGTGACAGCACATATGGGGATCCCACTCGAGCATAAGCGTATAGCAGGAAGAGCATGTCCTACGTTCCGTCTGAGGCGGGACGTTCAACTTTTTTTGAGACTTAGGCATTCTATTAGAGTCTGCAAAAATTAAGAAGTGAGATAGAAAAAAGAAACAGTAAATTCACCACGCCAAAATTCAGAATCAGGTGAAAGCAAACTGAGCCGGCAATTCAACTAAAAACAGGTAAAAAGGGCCTCCTAATAATGGAAAGCCTTTACTGTAATGAGTATCACCACACGAGAAAATCTCAGTCAGAAAACTGTAACCTGTCTTTCGTCTGCTTGTAAAACCACGGAGTGTAAAATTATTGCTGCCGTTGTTCAGCGTAAACGAAAGGGAATATCGGATCACGGCTCGTTTGCGTGGCCGCCGTGTGCAC